GTGGTGCACAAATAAGTGTAACCCCTCTCCCAGTTCCCAGTAGTGTAGCAAGTACATCACAGAATTGTGTTCAGGTTATTATTCTGCGTTTGAAAAAATCCTCAGATAGTGTTACCTATTATTTTATAGTTTTTGTCAAATAAACTTCTTACTGTCTGTGAGCAGAACTTTATTCAACTTCTAGTCTTTGGAAGCTCACAATTGAGCTTATTTATAGGTAGGCTCCTCTGAAACAACTCAACGGCCCACTCAGTACGAACATGTAACTGTAGTTACGCAGCTCGCTCAACAGCCAATGTCAAATCAATCAAGATCAGATACCAGCACAGGTAAATCTTTTAATTGCTATATGATAGTTGATTTTTAATTAACTAGTTCTTTCTTGATTTTAGGTCCTGGTAATGTATCGTATGCTGTTAGCTCTACTGCGGGAACGTCAAGCTTACAGATTCATCCGCCAGCAACATTGACTCAACAAGTTATTTTTATTTTTTGGTTTGAATGCTGCTTAAAATTTTATTACGATTTAGGCCACCAATTCCTTGCGCCTTATATCAGTCTTTTAAATGTTTTGTAGGTGCAGTTATCTGTTCCTGCTCTTGTTGGGGCGCCTTTAGCAAAGGTTGGAAATAGTAGAGGTGGAACAATTCGTTCTCAGACGCTTCGTACCAACGGCACAAGGTCGCAGAAAACGTTAGTTTCACTCTGTTACTGAGCTTTTTTTTTGTTCATAAATGACTTGTGACATTTATTTCCCAATCCGTTTTTTGTCGCAACTTGTGTCGGCAATTTTTAGACCATTGTCAGCAATGCTGCCAATGATGGGTAGAGGGAACGCAAAACAGTTAGTTAATATGAATGTCATTGGAGACGATGGGCCAACAGTGCGTCAACACTTGCAACAACAGCAGCAGAAGGCACGTTTACAGCAACAGTTAGCTATGCAAGCGAAACAGAAAGCTGAAGAAGCAGCCAAACAAAATGTGAGTGAATCTTATGCTTTCAGGTTATGACTGAGAATCAAATAAGTAACTGTTTTTTCAGAAAAGCTTTTTCACCCCAATTGTTTTTCATTCATTATGAAGTAAATGAACTTCACGTTTTCCTTTTTGCAAAAAATTCATGATTTTGGTTTTTATTTTATTTTGGTTGGCTGGTTTGATGTATACTTAAAGTGTTTCTTTTAGTTGGGAGACGGGAACTTTCAGGCAGTCGCATATGCCCAGTCATCGTCTTCCGGTGAACAACAGTCGTCGTCCCCAGAATTAAAAGCTACGCTTCGTACGACGCACGTACAAAGGCCCTATACCCCTCGCGTCTCAACTGCGCCAAGACAGCGAGTTGTAACGGAAACTACGCGGCCAGTACAACTTAAAAATACGAGTTCTACAAGTCAGAATTATTGTTTCGTTAATTACTCACATCTTTTCACCAGTGCGCTCTTGTTTTCTTACGCCTGTTATTAATGTCAGGCCTTTCGGGCTCCTTACCTCCTATATCCCTCGGTCCTTCACGGCCTACAAAAATGAACCGATTGACTGCTAGTGTTCCTGAAGTGCAAAATGCTGGAGAGATCGTAACTGTCTTGCAAACGCAGCCCCAATCTGCTCCCGGGTATCAAACTGTTCGGCAGCTTCATTATCGGTCTGCCCCGCAAGGTAATGAGAGTCTAAAATTTTAATCATGAATTAAAACCACTTAATTTACTCTTTTTCTCGTCTTTTCTGTTCAGGTGCTCAACTTATACGAAGCACTAGTCAACCTGCTGGTGGCCAGCCAGTCGAGCAAGTTTTCCAAGTTGTTAATAACGATATGCAACAGTTCCCAAACCAACCCGTTGTAAAAATAGAGGTGATGTTGTAATCGTTATTGTTGTTGTTTAAACAAATGTAGACTTGCCTCTGCTTCGTTTATATTA